TTAATAGTCTTCGGTTTTGCATTTGTTTGCTTTTTATTTTTGTTTTTCAGGTGAATAGGATAATCTTTAATATGCATGTAATATAAATTAAATGTGTATGTTAAATACATGATAAATAGGATAATCTTTAATATGCATGTAATACAAATTAAATGTGTATGTTAAATACATGATGAGTACAACTAGTTAATTTCTTATATATAAATAGTACTCATCAATTTTTGAATTCGCACTTCTATTTTATTGAAGTAAACTCTATTCAATATGATATACTGAGACTTCAAGTAAAATCCAACCCCATGCACCTAATGATGGTATATACAACTTTAGGGAAGATCATGACCTTCAGGCCATTTGTAAACTTGGCTAGTGAGAGAGGTATCAACCTTTGGTAACTTATCCTCCCACAATAATCACCTTCGGGTGTTATTTAGTCACCTTTGGATGTCATTTGATTTCTAACATGTATTCAACTACTTTATGTTAATATGCTTTAAACAGTTTTTAAAAGCCCAATCAAAACCAAAACTCGCAAATATACAACCTTTGTTGGAGAAATCACGCAAATATATCGACTTGCAAACTATTAATATATAAGTTGTATGTTAAATGTTATTCTTTTATTGAGTTGATTGAATTCAGCTCTTTATATTTTTAATATTATTTCAGGTTCTTAGTAAGTGGATTTTATTGAGTGTTCTTGCTTCTTTAATTTTGGTTGGTATACCTTACTTGTCCATGAGACTTTTTTTTTCAATTTTCATTTAATGTCTCAAAGGCTTCAATAATACACTATTTTAATTAAGTTTGGATTTTGATAATATAATAAATATTGTAAATTATTCATTTTTTTATTCTAATAATAAAATATTTTGGAAGTTACAAAACATTATGAATTTTATATAATTTGTTTTATAATATGTATATTTTGAAACTTGATATAAGTGGGGTGTCCTTATAATATTGCTTCTAAGTTGTTAATCATGGACTTGAGTTTCAGGTCGTGGCAAAAAATGTGAAGTTTAATGGGATTTAAATTACAAGATGCAAATTATAAAGTTATATATATATATATATAAAAGAGGATCTTTTAAAATATTTAAAAAATATGTTTTAGAATCGGCTATTAAGAGACAAAATAGATTCAGCTCGTTGGCTCCATAAGCTCACTCTTTTTAGCGAGGAGTTTACTACAAGTATGGCCTCGTTTAGCTTTGTCTTAAATGGTGGCTCCGTGATCTCAAGTGCTCGTCTTTTTCACTTCTCCCTGGAACTATTGATCCCTTCTACTTCGTTTGTTCCGAACTCACGAGTGGCATGTCAAGTCTTTTTCTTCTTTCAACTCCACTCAGTAATCGCTCATGGCTAATATAGGTAGGTTCAGAGCTAGCTAGTGTTTAGAAGTCATTTAAGAGATTTGACAAGTGGGGTTTTGAGCAATTTTCATTTTGTATTTAAAGTTTTTTATTAAGTGAATGGTATTTTTTATTTTATAAAGCATTGACAAATTTACCTTACTTATTCTTAAGAATTTTTTTGTTAAGGGGGCGTCTTGATCCTTTGCCCAAGTTGCTATATATTCTAGCCAACTCTAGCCTAGGTGTATAAAATAATATTGCTCAATGATCACCAAAATTTGTCAAATTATAGATTGCTTTAAAAAATAAAGGGTATTAATTCATCAAATAAATCTAAAAATAAAAACTTCAATTTATATCAACAAGAACTTGTTAAACAATATTGTTTCAACAAATAGAAATGTTTGTTAATTAACAAGATTACACATACAAACTTGATATAGTGGCCGTGCATATGATAACTTTGATCAATTAAATAGATATCATTTCCAAAAATTGAATTACTGTTTTCCCCTGACATCTCTTTCTCCTCCATTTTTTTGTGTGTCAAGCTGGCCTGATAGCAGAAACTTCCGGTAAGAATTTTCCTAAAAGTCATGAATGGAAATCCCTCAAATCAAAGATTTATTAACAGGAAGGTATGGCGCCCGAATGCACATCGCAAAATACAAATCGCAAACACTGAATCAATCCATGACTCCAGCCATTAATGTCGAAATAAAGCAAGAATGATGGTTTTATTACCATCTTTAGATTCACAATTACTGATTTAAACATATAAATATCAATCACAGTAAAACTCAGCAGCCCGTAAATTAAATCAAATATTGGTCAAACCCTAAATAATCTTCTAACCATATATGCATGCTCAAAATCTTGCATGAAAGGTTAATGGTAAAGGAAAGTAGCATTTAATTACCTTTAGTTTTTCTTCTTGTAAAATTCTTTTACCCTACGTTTATTTTTTCTTCTTGAGTGTATTATAGTTAACGCCTTTAAAAAATTGCATATTTGAAATGCTGAAGGGTTTTTTTTATTATTAATAATAATATTAATGTTACCTTCCATAATTTTCTCATTCATAAACCACCACCATCTCCATTTTCCCATTAAACCCTGACCCTGATCATCACATATTTTTTCTTTCCAAAAAACCAAAAAAAAAAATGCCAAATAAACTCCAAAAGTCTCTCCAAGGCTACATCTATAAGATCAAAAACCCTACCCAGTGGTGGATAATTGAAGAGATAACTTTCCTGTCTTGTGATAAGGAATACAATGGATACCATAATTGATTGTCCAACTTAATTCCTTGCAAGCTGAAGAAACTAAGACGTGCTTCTGATGAAAATTTTAGAATATAGGAAGGACTTAATTGCTGTTTTATATGTTGTCAAGGAAAATAAGAAGAATAAGACTAACAAGAACAAGAGATCTCAGAGGAGCCTAAGTTCAATTATTTGACTGAAAGCGCTTGTAAACCTGAAATTCATGATAAAATATCTACAGGCAGGTATAAAACTAAATTTCTGATGGAAACACAAGAAGTTAATCAACCAAATTTTATCTGTAGCTTCATGCACAGTTCCACCTGCAAGCACAGTGATATAAATGTCATGCAACTAGCAATATCTCAGAGCTGCAGGGTCAATATAACAGGTGCAGCCACTTTGATATATGCAAGAAATTAGTAAATCGATAAAAATCCAATTGGGCTACAGGTACTATCAATTGAAAAGAAAATAGGGAAATAAAAGGAGGCTATAGGTTTTATCATGAACCATAAAACTTTGATCGTTTTACTTTGAATAAAATAAAAAAAAAAAAAAAATTTCTTTTCCTTCATGTTCTCCCTTTAGCCGAAGCTCCGGGCCACAACCCTTTTCTGCACGCCTCTGTGCACAGCCACAAACAACCAACAAAACTACCCATGGCAGCCACCGAACTGGCTCCATTTTCTTGCATCAATTTTTAAAGAGGAAGAAGGGGCAAGTGCAGATGAAATAGCCGTTGCTCGACGATTATTTGTACCATCTCCATGTTTTAGTTTTTTGATATAATGTGCACAAATAACACTTCATTGAGAGAAATGTCATTTCACCTATTGATTTAGCAATCCTGTTGGAGTTTCTAAAAAGAAAGAAACTATTTTAATTAAGTTTGAATTTTTCAATATAATAAATATTATGAATTATTTATTTTATTTTATTCTAATAATGAAATATTTTGACAGTTATGAAATAATATAAATTTTATATAATTTATTTTATAATATATATATATGTATATATATATATATTGAGGCTTAATATAAGTGGAGTGTTTTTATGACATCGTTATTTGTTTGTTGATTATAAATCCAGTTTTTAAATTATGATAAAATAAAATGAAGTTTAATGGGATTTAAATTACAAGATGCAAATTATAAATTTCAAAGAGGAAATGATATATATACATATATATATATAGGTATATAGGAAGTACATTTAGCCCAGGATAGAGTTATATATATATATAGGTATGTAGGAAGTACATTTAGCCCAGGTTAGAGTCGGCCAAAAGATGAATAAAACCTTATAAATGGAATGTTTTAAAATATTTAAGAAATATTTTTTAATTATTTTTCATTTATATCTTAAGAGTATGGTTTTGAGTTATTTTCATTTTGTATTTAGAGTTTTTAATTGAGTGAGGGGTATTTTTCATTTTATAAAATAGTGACAAATATATCTTAATTATTTTTTAGATTTTTTTAGCTAAGCGGGGATCTTGAATCTTTGCCCAAGTTGCCCATGTATTCTGGTCTAGGTGTATAAAATAATAGTGCTTGATGATCACCAAAACTTGTCAGATTATAGATTGCTTTAAAAATTAAAGGATATTAATTTATTAAATAAATCTAAAAACAAAAACTTCAATTTATATCATCAAGAATTTGTTAAACAATATTATTTCAACAAATAGAAATGTTTGTTAATTAACAAGATTACACATACAAGCTTGATATAGTGGTCATGCATATGATAACTTTGTTTCCTTAAATAGATATCATTTCCAAAAATTAAATTACTGTTTTCCCCTGACGTCTCTTTCTCCTCCTTTTTTTGTGTGTCAGCCTGATAGCAGAAACTTCCGGTAAGAATTCTACCAAAAGTCAAGAATGGAAATCACTCAAATCAAAGATTTATTAACAGGAAGGTACGGCGCCACAAATATATATCGCAAACACTGAATCAATCCATAACTCAAGCCATTAACGTCGAAATGAAGCAAGAAAGATGATTTTATTACCATCTTTAGATACACAATTAATAATCTTGTAACCATATATGCATACTCAAAATCTTGCATGGAAGGTCAATGGTAAAGAACAATAATTAGCATTTAATTACCGTCAGTTTTTCGAACGGTAGCATTTATTTAGCATTTAATTACCATTAGTTTTTCTTCTTGTCAAATTTTTTTTACCCTACATTTATTTGTTCTTCTTGAGGGTATTTACTTAACGCCTTTAAAAAATTGTATATTTGGAAGTGGTTTTTTTTTTTTATTATTATTATTATTAATGTTAACTTCCATAATTTTCTCATTTATAAACCACCACCATCTCCATTTTCCCATTAAACCCTAACCCTCATCACATACTTTTTCTTGCCAGATACCAAAAAAAAAATGCCAAAGAAACTCCAAAAGTCTCTCCAAGACTACATCTATAAGATCAAAAACCCTACCCAAAATATCCAATTATCTTCTAATTCTTTCTCAAATTCAAAGAACTGGATATTAAGAGGCTGCAAACACCCTAGAACACTATCCTTTGCCATAGCTGGTAACCAGAATAAGAGTCATGATGAAGGAGACGAGGAGAAGGGTGGCGCGGCAACACTCTCTGATGTGGATCGCTTCCTTTTCGAGAATTTTAGGTCACTTTATATCAATGATGACGATGGGAATATTTTTCAAAAGGAAAGTGATCGTAGATCTAGAGGAGGTGACCAAGCTCCGAGCATGAACAAGATTTTAATTGATTCACCTAGGTATATTGATCCACCACTGGATCTGTGTGGCTCCCATCGATTCTTTGTGGAGCGGGGCTCATCATCCGGTTCACTTGTGGAAGAGGCACGGTCCAGCTTAACTGCCACCTCCGAGAACATGGGTTCAAGTTCAAGTTCAACCTCAGTCTCAACCACCACCCTCAATGACGACTCTGCCACAATTGCTTCAAATGATCCAAAGCAGGTTAGGCTACCAGATGACTGCATCGCAGTGCTAACCTACTCTCCGAGTCCCTACGATGATTTTCGGCGGTCCATGCAAGAAATGGTGGAAGAAAAATTGCAGAATAACGGTAAGGTTGATTGGGACTTCATGGAAGAGCTTTTGCTATGTTACTTGAACTTGAATGAGAAAACGTCCCACAAGTTCATACTCAGTGCTTTCGTGGACCTCATTGTTGGTTTGCGCAAGAATCCGGACAAGGTTCCTGTCAGATCACGCCATTCTCGAATTGCAAGATCAGGGGGGAGGAGGAAATTGGAAAATGTAACGTAAGATTTTGGTTATTTCTGTCGGTTTAAGAAGGAATTATATATTGAAGGAGTGGTTAGAGAAATTGAGTCCTTAATCAGACTGTTCGTGGCCTTACCCACCTTAATTAGACCTCACATGCAATATATATTCTATAGCCATATATACTTTATTTATGAATGGATATATGACCTCTTACAACTTTGATTTGATTTTAAATGTGTTCTAGTTTTTGGTGAGATTTGTGGATGTTTAAAATGGTATTGTCTGCTGCATGTTCCCCGCTTGAATCCTAGCGAGCTAGGAATTATATATGGAAATTAAAGAAGAAGGAATTAATTACTTTATTATCCAACCCTATAATCATGCAATCACTTTTGTATGTGCACATGCATGCACATATAGGAACGACGAGATGCTGGCTCAATACGAGGAGTGCGCCTTGGCCAATTAATTAATTTCACATGCATGCCCTAAATCAGTGCTTTGAATTGGGAGGCTTGAATTGGTGATGGGTTTTCAGAGGGTCTCCGGTTTGGCCTTGATTAATTATTACTAGTATTTTGTTTTCTATGGAATCGCCTATTTAATGGCATGGATTTATCAATAATAAATAAATAAAATTTTGTTTAAAACCTAATTCCACATCTGCCCGGAATCAGAGGGCTAATTTTTTTTTTTTTTTTTTTTTTTTTTTTTTTTTAAGACAGTGGAATTGATCCCAAAAGCTTCAGATGAATCACCACCACCATACAACAGTAAATAGGTTGACACCTTTCTTCTAATCTCTGATCAATATGGCTCCAATAACTCAACGGGACCGGATTCTCTGGCAATATAATTACCGGGAAGCAACGGTGGAGGTTTGTTTAGTTTCTAGTCAAAACTCCGCTGCAAAGCACATACACTCGTCTGGAAAAGCTGGTTGAAAGGGTTTCTTGACTCCATACAGGCAGCATTCCAGCCTACAAAAAATCTCAAAACTTCAAACTTTTCTGCCTGGATAACAATCAATTGAAATTTAAAAAAAAAAAAACATATAATATTATTTAATCCAACTCAAGCCCTGAAGGTCAGAGTCAAATAATATGAATATTAAAATTAAAAACCTAATAAATAAATATCACAGATCAGGTCAAGAAACAGGTCAGGATATTTACAATAATCTGCCCAGCCCGACCCAAGCTATATAGCCCACTAAATAAGGGTATCCGTAGAAATTCCTCTTTATTTTTTTCTCACTCACCCGCACAGCCACAGCCTCTGAGATATAGTTCACTTCTTTTACCTCTCATTTTATCTTTTTTTTTTGTCCCCATTATCTGTCTGTTTCTAAACTTACATTCCACTGTACATCGGGAAGAATGAAACACTAGACAGTTTGATTGTAAATCACAAGGAATACCTAACCATCGAAATAGAAACTTACAAAATTCAACCGTGCTCTGAATTTTCAACTTTGCCATAACTATATTGTGGAGTTAGGCAACTCTCTCCAAACTGCTTATGCTGCATCATATAAAGTGAAATAGAAATTCAACTCTCCTTGAACAGATATCAGGCAAGAATTAAAGAATGAACTCATTTTTATTGTTACACTACTCTAGTTTCATTGAGAGACCTTTAGAAATTTCCCAACTGTTCACTAGTCCTGCATGTAGGATATTAATACATCTATAACTGGCAACAAACCATAGCTGAGTGGGATTATTCCTTCTCCTTTCATGTTAATCACACTCCATACATGGAGTAGAGTTAACGCATACACATTTGAAGTGATATTTAACCATTTGTAGCGCTTTAGAGTGGAATTGACAGCGTGAAAGGAAAAAACACCGTCAGATGTTAAAAATGATAAGAAAAGGCAGTGCATTACATATCTATACTTGCCATAAAAACAACAAAACCAAATCATATATTTTCTAAAAGACTAATGGGCAATTAAATATGAAACCAAGCGGAGTCCCTTATTCTGAATGATTATGTCACGTGCTGAAAGAGTAGAATTACTTACTCTGATTGCCGAGTGTATCGTCATTTCCTTCAAGATAATGCTCGTACAAAGAGTGGTACTTTGCGGGAACAAAATCCTTGAATCTGTTAATAATTGACAAAAGGAGAGCTAGATTCAGATATTTTTCAGAAATTAAAAAAACATGTGATTAGAAGAAAAGGAATATCTAGCAGCATTTGTAAATTGTTAGTCAGGCAGAATGGTGATAACAAAAAAGAAAGACACAGAATATCAATAGCTCTCTTCAAACCTTTCCAGTTACCAGAATTAGAAATCAGAACAATCTACTAAGCTGAGCAACATGCCTAAATGATGCCAAACAGGGTAGGAGTTTATTTATTTGCTATCAAAATCCTAAGAACCAAGACAAATTAAACTTTATTCCTGAAGAACATTTACTTGGTAACTTATTCAACCAATAAACTGTCAACAGCGGGCACATTTACATGGACTTGCTGGAGAAAAGACAATTTATGCATCAAATCCACAAAATGAAGTAAACTCGCTAATGGGAAATGGACAGGTATAAGATCCACATGTATGACAGACTCCTGATATGATCTGTTCATTCTATGAGACCGTAAGAGAATCATTTCCCTGGAAAAATACAGAAGGAAACAAAGATTGTAAAATTTGGTTCCTTTCTGAATAACCTAAAATGTAGGAACAAGTAGAATTTAGACCCTAGTGAAAACGGATGCTACAGCTACTTACTAGGTACATATTAGCACAGTCGCATTATAATATACATAGCACTGAGTCATAATACGACAAAGATTATACTAGAGAAGGTGCATGATATCAACCATGATCAGACATATCATCTCAGTGGCTAATATTTCCAGTGGTGGATAATTGAAGAGGTAACTTTCCTGTCTTGTGATAAGGAATACAATGGATACCATAATTGATTGTCCAACTTAATTCCTTGCAAGCTGAAGAAACTAAGACGTGCTTCTGATGAAAATTTTAGAATATAGGAAGGACTTAATTGTTGTTTTATAGGTTGTCAACGAAAATAAGAAGAATAAGAATAACAAGAACAAGAGATCTTAGAGGAGCCTAATTTCAATATTATTTGACTGAAAGCGCTTGTAAATCTGAAATTCATGATAAGATATGTACAGGCAGGTATAAAAATAAATTTCTGATGGAAACACAAGAAGTTAATCAACCAAACTTTATCTGTAGCTTCATGCACAGTTCCATCTGCAAGCACAATGATCTAAAATGTCATGCAACTAGCAATATCTCAGAACTGCAGGGTCAATATAACAGGTGCAGCCACATTGATATATGCTAAAATTAGTAAAACGATAAAAATCCAATTGGGCTACAGGTACTAACAATTGATAAGAGTTAGTTCTTCCCATGCAGTAACAATAGCCATATAACAAGATCTGCAAAGCATGAAATAGAAAGATATATCTCAAAACAATCAAGACATGCAGCCTAGGAGCATGCTGCCTTAGCTTAGCTGGTGAAGTCACTTGACATCACACCAAGCAACCTGGGATTTCATCCCACTCACATCCGAGAGGCGGGAGTTTACCCTCAAATTGAGTAGTCCAGCGCACAATAGGCCTCCAACAAAGTTTGTGTGTGTGTGTGTGTGTAGTGAGAGAGAGAGAGAATGAGAGAGCCTTCAATTCAAAATTTTGATCTACAGGCATATGTAGAAACTCTTACAAATGGTATAGATTGTCAGTAAGATAGGGGCTGGCATTATTTAAAGCCATATTAACTATAGAATTCTAATTGTATGCTAATTATATAGTTGTATATATGGTTTCCATATTTAGCTAAGTTGCAGTTGGAAATAATTAGGGATGTATTATGTTATTTGGTTCTATATAATGGAAGGAACTCCTATTGAGAGGCATTTAGACAAAACTCATTGTTTCTATCATGGTATCAGAGCCTAAACATTCAAATTAGGGCTGTCTCATCCTATAGTTACTGTCAAAGGGGTTAGAATTGTTGAGTGTTTGCTAGGAGGGTGGTTTGGGATCATTCCATTGATCTTTTTGGCTGTCGGCAAATTTTGTAACCCTTTTTAGTTGTCTGTGTAATCTTAGGTGTTATTGCTCATATCTAATGTCAAAGTGGATTGGGCTTTTTTAGATTGTCATTTATAAGGTTTGAACTTAATTTTATCCAGTTGATTTGTTGTTGTTTTGGTGATTTGGGCTTGCTGACTTCTTGTTTAATTACTAGACTTTGGACTTGTTCTTTTTTGGTATCATGACCACTAGTGATTCATGGTCCTTGGGGATGATATTCACGGGGTAAGAATTATTCTACCTGGGAGTTCCAATTTCATTTATTTGTTACGGGGAAAGATTTACAGGGCCACATAGATAGAAGTGATCCGACTCCTACTGGGGATTCAAAGTTGGCTTAGTGAAAGATCAAAGATGCTAGAATCATGACCTAGATGTTAACCACTATTGGCATCTGGTTCTTCTACATCTGAGGACTACTAAGAATATGTGGGAATATCTGAAAAAAGTCTATAATCATAACAACATGGCTCGATGATTTCAATTGGAGTATGAAATTGCAAATTATACTCATGAAGATCTCTCCATTCAGGAGCATTTTACTGGATTTCAGATCTTATAGGAAGAATTTGCTAATATAATTTATGCAAAGATACCTGATGGTTCTCTTGCTGCAATTAAGGAGGTTCATGAACAGAGCAAAAGAAATCAGTTTTAAATAAAATTGCAACCTGAGTTTGAGGTTGCTCCATCTAATTTGATGAATCGCAATCCCTCATCTTCTTTAGATATGTGCTTTGGGGAGTTACTTTGCTATGGGGAGTTACTTTGTGAAGAGCAACATCTTGCTACACAGGCTACCTTCCAGCAAGACAAATTACCCACTAAAGTCACTGATTATGCTGCTCACGTGAAAGGAAAAGATAAAGACATGCAAAAAGTTCAATGTTATAGCTAGAAGGAATATGGACATATTGCTACTCGTCGTGTGAAGAAATATTGTAATTATTGCAAGAAGCCAAGACATTATCAGAGACTACCCTACTCATCCTCCGAATCATCAGGCTACAGTTAGTTCTTCATCTTCTACAACTAGTGATTCATATCCTTACTTCTGAGATGGTCAAGTAGATGATTATTTCTGTTTTTTCAACCTTGGGACTTCAAGGTAAAAATTTCATATCATTA